CTTTCACAACCTTTGTTTTTTTCGCCACAAGAAGAGGATTTTTCCCTGATTTCGCTTAGGCAAAAAGCGAAGCAATAAACGATCACAAAGTGGTATCTTTGCAATTGTTTCCTGGACGTTATTGACATTCTCTGGTGATGGTTACATCCTAAACCTAACATCCTTTCCATAGAGCCACCCGACGCCGTAGTGGCCACTTTGCCACGCGCGGACATCGCGCAGCCGGTTAAGTAGGAATAAATGGCGCCGCTTCGGATTATCCTCAGTGCTACCTCAACACCAGCTATCGCTTTGTATTCAACTACTGCACTACGTATTCAACTTCTAATCTACGGTTACTTCATTCAGCTACTGAACTATGACTACTGTATTCAACTACTGAACTATTTATTCAACTACTAATCTACGACTATTGTATTCAACTACTGATTTAATTCTATTCCCTAAATGATTTAATCCTATTCTATTCCTGATTTTTTTGTACTGAATTTTATTCTGGGTGTGTTTCAGCTTATTTATGCAGGTTGTCATGACTTTTGCCACATAAACCCTGCGTAGAGAACTAGAACCGCAGAAATTGCATTCAATCTAATTTAATTTGAATTGATTCGTTCAATTTTTATTAATCCCCGCAATCTGTAAATGTTTAGTGTTCTGCTGCATGACGTGTATGTGTATTAGATTGTAACCTGGGAGAGTCTGAAGCAAACGTTCAACAATCATTATGCCTTGAGGCATTGATTTTGAAGTGTGAGGTGAGGGGGGTCTGAAACAAACGTAATCTTGGCCATAATGCCTTATGGCATTGATCTTGAAGTGTGAGAATGTTATGAGTGAGAAGGTTGGTAGGGAGTGTGATATGCTTAAGGCGTAACGGCTGGTTGTATATAAAAGATTATGGATATCAGAATGATCCCTGCTTGCTTGAAGTGTTTTTGAGCTATGAACTCACATCGTAGTGTTCCAGCTAAAAATTCATTTACAGCTTCTGATACTCCGCAACCTTCTTTAAGGCGCATACTCCCACGTCCCGCGCTTACATTCAAAAGTCCTCAGAGATATTATATTCCAAATGCATTTCTACAAAGGCTTTTTGTGCTTTCGCAACCACCAACACCGCGCAGGCTTACACACACACCTCAGCTTGAAACACCACCATATAATATTACGTTCGCATCATCTGTACCAGCCCACATTCCCTCTCAAGAACCTATTAGTACTGCGCCTAGTCCAGTTGCGGTTGATACTGCGCCTAATCAAATATCGGTTACTGTTTCGTCTAATCCAGTTTCAGGTTCTGCTAATTTCCGAGGAAAGATACAGGTACAAGTAAGTATGGAAACACCTGGTTGTTTTGATTTATCGTATTTCAGGTGGCAGTAGGTGCTATGCGTTCGCGTACTATAAAACCAAGATGTTCTGCAAAGTCTACAGACGTGTGTACTGTTATAAAGAAGGTTGCCATACGCAAGTGGATGTAAGGTTTTAATCTGGTCCATGTACATATTTTAAGGTTATCGATGACAATTTTCAAACAGACTCATGCATGCCTCGCCACTGCATTCCGAAGGGGGTGAAGACCAACTACGTAGAGCGTTACCTCTATCAGAAGCTTCAAATAAGAAGCGACGTGAACCTCGCGGATGCTAGAATGGCAGGACACGCTAGATGCGATGCCTTCGCTGGAACATTTCAGTAAGCCTATAACCAACTCAACTCCACATTCAGCAAGTACAAAAGATCAGGTCAAGAAGAAGTAGAAGAAATCATGAACGAATTTCATCAGACGGGATACGGAACGCGAAGAAGGACGATTGCAGAGTCTATGATGTCGATGCTCGTCTACAAACTCTGTCGTACGATGTTTATTTTAGAAGTCTGGAGAAGCAAGATCGCTCGAGGGCTATGCTCGACAGTATTCAGAGGACCTAAGAAGTTTACCGGATGGCTCACTCTTCCTCCAATTCAGCCAACGAGGGTTGTACATCTACTTCTCAAGGAGAACACTCCAGGTTGTGATTTTTCACCACATTTGCATTATCATTTTCATTCACCTTATTTTATAGAAAGCTGTTGACAATGGGTTGACTGCATTTGTGGCTGACGGGATGCATAGACTTTCCCCCGAAATGCTGAGCAAGGATGGGCTCTACACGATCCATGGAGTTTGCAACGGAGTTGTAAGTAGGTGATCCACTTGCTATAGTCGTATGTCAGGCAACAACAACAACACAACATTTATACAGATGTCCCGCTCATACACGTGCTCACAAAGAAGAAAAACCTTTCCATGTACGAGAAGGTCTTCAACAAGGTCAAATAAGAAC